GGATGGACAGGCTGACAGATGGAATCCAATGGACAGGTGGGCATGGAATCGGATGGACATGCTGACAGGCTGACAGATGGACAGGTGGAATGAGATGGACAGATGGAAGATGGACAGGAGAATGGACAGGTGGAATGAGACGGACAGATGGACGGATGTCAAAGATATAATATTGACTGTAAACAGATGATTATTCTGTCCGGGATAGACTCACAGGTTGCGTGTCTGTTTTTGGTTCCTACGTGGGGAAACAACTGTGTGTTTGTTGTCCAGGTGTGGGGAAGAACACTGTTGTTTTTGTTGCCTGGGACTGTTAACTCTTGAGCAGTTCTTTTGCATGCCTACCATCTTCACCCGATTAGAGCGCACAGTCATTATAGCTATATATGGGGCAACTTCCAGTCCTGATACAGCGATAAATGACCGTGCATTCTATTCGGGTGAACACGGTAATAACAATGAAAGTGCACTCTGTGTCTTCGTGGTTAGTCCTCCTCTCTTGAAACCTTATTTTTCCCTCTCTCTCTCTCTCTCTCTCTCTCTCTCTCTCTCTCTCTCTCTCTCTCTCTCTCTCTCTCTCTCTCTCGCGCGCGCGCGCGCGCGCGCGCGCGCGCGCGTGCTATGTATATCTTTTTCAGCTAGCTGTGCACAAACGAGTGCTTGTTTTGGTCGCATGATAATGCTACCTCTGCCATCCTTTTGCTTTTTTCGGTGCCATTCAGGGTTGGTACGTATATGCTAGCCTGATCGAGAGGGGGCTGTGCTAGGGCCTCTAGAATCCATATACTGGTCTGATGTGAAGGGGCTGCTCTAGGGCCTCTGGACTCGCTCCTGCAATGACCAGATGGAAGCTGTCCTTGCTTGCCAATGTATGCAGGGCTTGCAATGGTCTTTGCTGGAATAGAAAGCGGGGTCATTGGATCCGTATTCAGAGCAATTTCCAGGTCAGATACGAATGTGATAGCCTGGCGTTTTATTTAGGCTGAAGACGGGCATGGACCAGATGGAAGCTGTCCTTGCTTGCCAATGTCTGCAGGGCTTGCAATGGTCTTTGCTCGAATAGAAAGCGGGGTCATTGGATCTGTATTCAGAGCAATTTCCAGGTCAGATACGAATGTGATAGCCTGGCGTTTTATTTAGGCAGAAGACGGGCATGGATCTGTTGAATCCTCTGAGGAGATGAGAACTGCTCATTGTAATAACAACGGTCGATGGTCTACTAGCTGTCTCTTATACACATCTAGATGTGTATAAGAGACAGGACCAGATGGAAGCTGTCCTTGCTTGCCAATGTATGCAGGGCTTGCAATGGTCTTTGCTGGAATAGAAAGCGGGGTCATTGGATCCGTATTCAGAGCAATTTCCAGGTCAGATACGAATGTGATAGCCTGGCGTTTTATTTAGGCAGAAGACGGGCATGGATCTGTTGAATCCTCTGAGGAGATGAGAACTGCTCATTGTAATAACAACGGTCGATGGTCTACTAGCGTTGACTTACACTGGCACAGTCAAAGTGCTCTCGGGATCTGGTGGGTACTTCGGCGCCCAACTGCTATCCTATTCTCATCACTGAACCTTTTGGCGGGTAGACACTTGCACTCAGTTACACAACTGTGGGCACCCATAGAAATGCGAAGAACGGTAAATGCAGTGATCCGCACTGTTGCAGTCTGAGATTTTGGCCCCCCTAGCACAGCCCCTCCCTGCACAGTGCCTGTGTGTCCAAGGCTCTATGCGGTGGTTGCTGTACCCGTGAACGAACTCCGTTCTTGTGCCGTGTTCTGTGTCCCGTGAAGGGCAGAACAGTAAATACGTATATCAACGAGGGCAGGAATGAAATTGGACGCTGGCTGGGACTTGGAAGAAAGTTTAGGACGGACAAGGACTAAAGTAGAATTTGGCAGGGACGTGGTAGCGTTTTCCAGCAACTTGGGTAGGCCTAGCGAGGTCCGGTAGGCTTTGAAGGTCCTGATGTGCCAGGGCCCAAATGGATGTAGATATCAGGGTAGGTTGCAGGCTGCAATATTTCCCCCCCCAAAGGCAGGAACCTCCCATAGGACCTAGGGCGATGGGAGTGGCCGAGAGTGACCGGCCAGAGGTACTCGAGGCCGAGAGTCAATGAATATATCATTTGGCGCAATGAGCAGTGCAGGCACCCCCCGGCAGTCATGCTGCTCTTCTGCCCTGAGGGAGAGCTAGGCGGAGCGCTCTGAGTTGAAGGAGGAGAAGCTGAAGGTGAGGAAGAGGACCTCCATGGCTATGGAGTAGTATAGTAGTAGTACTAGGTGGAGGAAGAGAGTAGAGGTTGAGGGAGAGGAAGAATGAGGGAACCAACAACACAGACTTACCTTAGGCTGTGATGGACCTTCATCTCCGCTTCCTTGGTTCGTGCCCACAGCTGGAAAGACCCTGTTGGGATACAGGTTGGACATGGACTTCATCCGTGGTTCGTGCCCACAGCTGGAAAGACCCTGTTGGGATACAGGTTGGACATGGACTTCATCCGGGACGGTGGCTGTGGCAGAATGAGCTGGGAGAGGCACGGCATTAGGTGAATTAGCGCAGAATTTCCCAGTTTAGAAATTGGATATCATGAAAGCTTTAGACAAAAGACACTGTGCGAAGACAAACCAACCGTAAACTGTAGACCCACCATGATGGTGACAGGTGTTTATGGTGGATCTATCTGCCTTTGCCTTTCTTTTTTTTTTTTTTTTTTTTTTGCCTATTGCAGGCACACCATGCCTTGTGGCGCATCTGTACCAGCGTGGTAGGGCGGCATGAGTTTAGGGCATGAGGGGGTGAGGAGTTTTACGTAGCCCCCCATGCGGCTGAATGGAACACACATGCAACTGGCTGTTAATGAACAGATCATGATGCAAGGATACAGGACTGCGGGTGAGTCAGAAAAAGCCCTGTCCGCCCTATAAGTGAAGGCAGGCCTTCCCAAATGCAGCTGGTCCTAAGAAAAGGCCAATGTGAACAGAAGGGGGCGGCGGGTAGTTGCCAGTGTGCATGCCAGTGTGCATGCAGCATCTGTAACGAACCGGTAGGCCCAGCCCGCGAGCTAGTTGCAGACGCTGGGCCTGTGTACGCTTCTGAAAGGGCCCGGGGGCAAGAAACTGGGACAGGGTTCAGCCTGGGTGCAGCCTCTCCAGCCTCGCCATGCAGCCTGAAAGAGAGGAGGCCACCCAGACTCGCACATTCAGGCATTGGGCCCAAATGCAGCAGTGCTGCTGGAGCAGTAGCTGAGCGCTGTGCCCATGGGTAGCTGCTGCTGTGGCGGAACCGGTAGGCCCAGCCCATTCGTTAGTTGTGCAGGTGCGGGTCCTGCGTACACTTCTGGAGGGTCCTGGGAGCAGCAAACTGGGACAGGGCTCAGCCTGGGTGCGGGCTCTCCAGCCTCGCCGTCCAACACAAAAGAGAGGAGGCCGTCCAGACTCACATGTTCGGGCATTGTGCCGGTGCAGCAGCGCTGCTGGTACAAGTAGCTGAGCGCCCTGCCCATGGGAAGCTGCTGCGGTTGCAGCGAGGAAGAAGAAGGGAGAGTGCCAGCCATATAGCCGGGCCAGCCGTGGTGGTGGAAGTTGCTGAGGTCCTTGGTGGAACACGGGATGGAGGACAAGGGACAGAAGTCGTCTGAACGAGGCACGTACCTGGTTCTGGTGTTGACGAAGGCAAGCTGTTCGATAAGAGTCTTCAAGCGGCATTGGGCTGATGACATGTAGACTGGTTGTTGGCATAGGTAGACCAGATTGGTAGGAGTGACAGGGGGTAGAGTCGGCGTTTCAGGACGCCTTCAAGAGGGCTACATTGTC